AGGGAAAATGAGGAACACCTGCAATAGTGTCAACAATGAGAAATTTAAATAAAAAAATATCTAGATGTGTCACATTACAGAGAAAATGACAGCTTTGCCTAATCATTTTATAACAAAGTAGTTCATCTTACCTCTGCTACCAGTTGCTGAAGAGATGGTGAAGCTACAGAATGTAGACTTGAGTTACCCCTTATGGGACTGTGGAGACTAACATAAGCCACAACGTTTCTCTGCAGAACCCTCTTGAAATCCTGAAATAAAATAAAATAAAATATGTCTCTAATATAAATAAAAATAACACATTCTATTTATTCAGTTACATATTAAATAATAAACACTCTCTACTTAAAATCATTACATTGCACAAGAACTTTTTTTAAAAAAAGCAATTTCATACTTTATTAAGAGTACACAATCATAAAAGAATTTTGAATAAATGCAATGAGTTAAACATAAATGTTGATAAAATATTTTAAAGCATGTTCTTGAGTCAAATTAAAAAAAATTTTTTTAGTCAAATTTTAAGAGAGTATGTTCTTAAATGGTTAACGTATTATGAGATTAACCTTCAAAATACAAAATGGAATATTTGGTCGAGTGATGGCACTTAATTTTAGTCTTTGAATTAGAGAACAGACAAGGGAAAACTACTTCAGTGATTAATAAACCAACCCTTTCCTTTGAAGCAATGAGCTACTTTTTGCACAAAGTGGCTCTTTATTCTGAGCAAAATGAAGCATAATACAAGTGTGTTCTTGCACATATTAACTGAAATAAAACCTGATACATTTCATGTGTATTACTAGCACAAAATGATTCAACAGAATAGTTTTTTCACTATCTGCTAAACCCTACCCCCCAAAATTGAAGACTAATGATTCTATTAATAATGTACCACCACTAAAAAGTCCTTCTGATATTTCTCTCCTCTTTTGAACAAATATTTAATAGGTCATTACCATGGCGGCAGTCCTACAGAAATATCCTAAAAATTGTATTACTTCATGTCTTAGGAACATATATTTCTTCTTCCAACACTATAAGATGAAACCTGCAAGGACTTGAAATACCTAGGGAATCAATGTTACTCCTATTTTATGTTGAAAATTCAGCTATACCTCTATAAGAGATGTGAAAAGACAACTCATTTAAAACTAGTAAGTATTTTAAAGAAAAAGAAAGCTTAACTCAAATGCTCTGCTTTACACATAATATTTTTTTAAAAGTCCAGTGTTACAAGCACTCTAGAAAGCCAGCCTCTATTTGCTCACCAACACATAGACACTTTCTATATGTTAGTCCATTTAATCCTCATGATATAGGCATTCCTGTGCTCATTTGATAAATCAAGCCTTGGAGGAGTTAATCTTGCCTAAGGCCTTGTGTTGTATGATAGAGAAGATTTGAACTCAGCCGTCTTTGACTGTAAAATGTGTAGTATTTCCACAATAGCCTGTGAAAAATAAAACTTCTTCACAGAATAAATGGTAGTTTTTGAAGAACCTATTTAGTAAAATGTTATAATTCTCCCCAAAGATCAAGTATTGAGTCAATTCTCTAACTCTCTCACTATAAAATTCATTTTTAAGTTTATTGACCAAAATAGTCTAATTGTTTTAATTACATCTGGATTTCAAGGAGTTCCTGTGCAAACAAAATTAAATAGGACAATATGACATGTCAACAAGTTTTTCCCTTACTCGTCTTCATCAGGGAATATATTTAGAGCATAAATTGGTTTCAGTCTAAAAGAAAATGTTTCATTCTGATGAGAGTAAATTTTGAACAGGAAAACTAATAGTTTCTAAATTCCTCCTCATCTAGATAGTTACAAACTGGCTTCATAAACTGTATTGAAATAATTTTTTAAGATATAGCAACCTGCAATAGTATATTTTAAAAGCTAATAATCAAATCTATATATTTTATTCAACATTTTCTTTACTCAAATGTCTTTGCCCAAAAAGTCATGAAAAAACCATAAAGTGACTAAGTGCATAATTAGTTGTCAAATATGCATACATGCATAAATATCCCAGGATACCGGCTCCTAATCTTTATGACTAAGAAGAGCCTTTTCTAGCATAAACATTTCACCTATGGACCCCCACATTACTGTAATTGTAATTTTAGTATCTGTTGCTTGAGAAAATGTAAAATCACCAAAGGGTACAAAATTGGGTAAAACTTAAAAATGAATTTGTATTATATTAAACACAAAAACGTCTACTTAATTTAAAAAATATAATTGCCCACATTCACTTAAGATCACATTATTGATTCAACTTAAAGGCTATGATACATGATGCTCAAACAAATTCAAGGACTTTTTGCAAAGCGCATCCCCATGCACAAGGGTTCAAGATATTTAAGTTAGGAATTACTAATGTTAGCCAGATAAACCTGCTTAGAGAACATAATTTAGACATATACATATTAGGATTAACATAAATTTATTGTGAAAGTTAGTAGATAGATATCAAGAAGGCTGTATAATATAGAATAAATTTTTGGAATTTAAAAATAATCTTCAAGACATTATCTTAAAATGTGCCTCATAACAAAATCTAAAATATTATTTTCTTTCTGATAAATACATTCTGAAATATTAAAGTCAGCCCAGATCACAAATATATTCCCCAGATTGTTTTTCTAACTTACTTATATGCTTAAAGTAAGTAGTTTGAAATAGAAGTTTGGGAACTTGTTTTAGCTCTTATATTTTCCATCCTCCTAAAAAATTGTCAATTTAACAAGCTTCTTTCAGTAATGGAATTGATTCCTTTGAATTAGTTGTTTTGAATACAGAACAAGCACTCACTCCATCAATTTACATACAGAAAAGTATTGTAATTTATAACATGTGAATCTTGATACATTTTACACGGTCAATTTTTTCTCAATTTTAAGACTTTTCTTTCCCTCAAATTAAAAACACACTAGGTACTTTCTTTTATATACCTTTTAGATATTTTCTTTCATATTCAATAGACATGTGATTTTTTTTGAGTGCTTAAATAAAAAAAAAAAAAAACAAAAAAACGAAACAAGAGAATTTCCAATTAGATATTTAGAAGTTTTTTCTCGAAAGCTGAGGCAGTGAATAAACTAAAATAGTTTTATTTTCTTTAGCTAAAACTGTAGGGTTTTTCTACATTTCCATTGCACCTCTTTTTTTTAAAAAAAAAGAGTAAATAGAATGTCTAAGAGTTTTACAATGTTTTCATTGCTGTTAATATGGCATCAATCCAATTATCAGCCGTCATATTCCATTAAAAACAGTGTATGTGTGAGACCCAGGCATAGAAGCCTTTGAAACCAAATACTCCAGTTGCTTTCGAACCCTGACCCGTTCACTTGGACAGAGGCTCCCTCCTGTGGGTAGGTGGGGATTTATGGAGGTAGGAAGGAAGCAGCAGGGGGACGGGTGTGCAGGGCTGGAGGGGGCAGGGGAGGAAAGAGGGAGGAAGGAAACAAACCTTATTTGAGTCTAGCCTCTATATTGCCTAGCTAAGCTATAATGCTGAGGTTATAAACATTTAACCTAGGAGGTCATTTCCTTATTCTAGATAATTTCTAGAAAGCTTTAAAAAGAAAGGTTATGGTATGTATCACTCGGCCCTTTCCTGTGCTGAGCCTGTCAGCCTGTCCACGGGGGTACGCAATAACCAGGTAGACACTGTCGTGGGTGTGGAGTGTAGACCTGGAGCAACAGGGCCAGTGGCAGATCCTACACCCCAGTCGCCGTGCTCTAACTCTAATTCCCGTTCATTCTTCTGGGTGACTTCAGCAACCTAACAGATGTGACATCCCGACTGAGACGCACACTCGTGCCCTTCGTTTCAACAATTTTACTTTGTCTACTGTAGTCAGAGAGAGAGAGAGAGAGAATGTGCATTTACCTCTCCCCATTCATATGAGCCAATATTGCCAAAGACGGTTCCTCCCCAGGAACAGAAAACGACGCTGCGGCCGGGCCTCCACCCTCCCTGGGCCCTCAGCGTCAAGGCCTGGGCGAAGGCCGTGGCGATGGCGGTGCCGCTGGCCCATCCCGGCCCCCCGTAGCTGGGGGCCGTGGGATGGTGGCTGCCGACTAGGACATACCGGTCTGCAAACGGAAAGAAACAAGGGCCATTAAAGGAAACAGAAGCCTTAACAATAAATTTAATGACATTTACGTAATCCTACTGCACAACTGAGCAGCAATTATGCAAAATTGTTCTAATAATTAAGACTACTTTACATTTTTCACCCCTGTCTTGATTCACACATCTGCGTATATCAAAGCAGAGGCAGCTGCTGAGCCCAATTATGAATCCAGAGCTTATATTCCTATTACTGTCCTCTGCGGCACGCATATTAATTAATGAGACATACAAATATGCCACAAGGAAACCTTTATCTAACATTTTCCCAGAGTCATAGCGGGACGTGCCCTGTAAACAATGTGTGTATGCTCAGTAAATATTAATGAACTATTAATACATTCAGGGAGCAGTTATTTAGTAGCTTTAAATATTAAAAATGTGGTAGTCATGTATGGATTTTGCAATAAATGAAGTATTTAGGGAATTAGAGTTTTAGCCTCTTTTCTTTCTCTGAAGAATATAAAATCAACAACATCGAAAGGCATCCAGTTACTGTAAAAGTTTCCTTTTCACATATTTTATTTTATATGATCATACAAAAACTGTTAGATATACTGTTACAAAGGTCTCAGTGGCACACGGAATGGGTATTCTATGTACATTACTGACTATTGTCATCAATAAGGTAGTCTAAACACAACTTGAGAGTGTTCTCTGACACTCTTGTCAGTGAGTGTTACTGGTGCAGAGATAAATTTATTTGCTCATCAGGAGATGTCTCGTAGTTTGATGCTTAAGTGGGCACACTCTGAAGCCTGCCTGCATGGGTTTGAACCCGGGCTATCCAATTTACTAGTTGTGTGACCTTGGGCAGCTTATTTAACCTTTCTATGTCTTAGTTTCTTTAACTATAAAATGGGAATAAAAATAGTACATACCTCATTCAGTTCTTTTGAGTTTCATGTGAGTTATTACCATTTGTAAAGCACTTTGAACAGTGCCTGATGCCTAGTAAGGACTACATATGTGTGGAATAAATTATTCACCAGTTGACTCATGGTATCAAAAGCTACCTCATCAGAACAACATCACTGTGTGAAGCTAGTTATTTTCCCACACTGATGCTGGAGCCAGCAATGACTTTGATCTGCCAACATTTCATCAACATTTAAGTGATGGTATACACAGTGTGTCAGCAAACGTTGGAACTCTGGGAATTTATTCACTGATTTTCCAGATATGTGTGAAAGTTCTGTTTGGAATTGCCTTTATTCTAAATAAACACCTAAAAATCTTAATAAGATTGATGGTTGTTTCTAATTTTCAGAGTCATTAACACTATGTGATATTTTTGTTGAGAATTTAAATAAGATTTGAGAAGCTTTGCTAATATTCACTGAAAAATATTACTGCTAAATTGATTTAAATATTTTTTCTATATTGAATTTCAATAAAGAAAGTTTTTACCCTAAAGCTAATATAATATTGTACAATTTGGTTTTTCAATAACAACTTGCAAATGCAGTAATGTTGATAAATACATATTTCTAATGCTTCCGTTAGAGATCTTTACGATGGGAATTTGTTAAAATGCAACAGTAACAATTTTCAAATTTATTTATATCTTGTGTTATTGAGCAGAGTTTGTTCAAAATTGCTACTGTAAGGAAATCAGAGAAAATATATACCTTCCTTTAATTTTGTAAGAGTTAGCTGGCAAGAAACTGGGAGGGATATCCAACTTGATCTCAGAAACTTCTGGGTTAGCAATTATAGGGTCAATATGACTGAAGTCATAGAGAAGAATAATTGTTCAAGGAGAACTTGAGTAAAGAGTAAATATCTCAACCAAATTGACAGAAGTGGCGCAAATGCACTAAAAAAATTACTGCGTTCTACTCTATAACAAGCCATCAGACAAGAATATGTGATTCAACCTCACAATGTATTTGGAAGCATTGCTATTAATCTCTAAATCTATGTGTCAGTTATTTTTACATTTTAGCCTGTATAACATTATCTCAAGATTCAATTTTCATCCTATAACAAAGATTAAATTATTTAAAAATTAACCAGGTGATCATTTTCATAAGCAACTTCAAAACCTAAAGTGATGCAAAAATTAGGCAGAATTGTCAGCAGACCAAGGGTCAGAGATGGGACACAGATTAACAATAAGAGATTATATTTGAAGGGGAAAAAAACCCATACCACTAAAATGGAAATATTTTATTTTTAAAAAGGTCTTTTCTTTTTTTAAAAATAAAAATGTCTTCAATGGTGTTATAGCTAATAAAGGAAGAAGAGAAAGAAGACATTGGCTTTTATAGCTTTTCTTCGCCAGGTACATGCCAGTTTAACTAATCTAAACCCTGTTTTCTCGGTTTTGTTTTGATTTCCTCATAGTCTCTACTTGGATTTATTTTTGAAGAGATATGCTAAGAAAGAATAAAGATCTACTTCCTGGTTTCACATTGACCCCCTCTTAGGGTGGTATAAACCTCTGGTTCCACGGAAAGTAGGATATATAACTATGCTATTAAATTACTATAGAGCAATTCTTTGTGATGTTTCACATAAAGGGTAGATTATGAATTATTTACCGTACTTACCTGGAGAAGTCAAGCCCTTTAAATATCCAACAACATTAGTAACTGTTTTGAATTTTGTGACTGTCTGAACTTGCATGTTGACAATTCTTTTTTCTGAAAAAAAATAAAAAAAAATAGATGCTTGTTTCTCTATACTCTTATGTCTTCAAACATTCAAATTTATTTATCCAATATAATCAGCAAAATAATTCTGAACAATTACATTTTTGGTAGGTAACTAAAGTTATACTTTTAAAAATATATATATCTTTATTGATTTCAGAGAGAGGAAAGGAGAGGGAGAGAGAGAGACATAGAAACATCAATGATGAGAGAGTTACTGATTGGCTGCAGCCCGCAAGCCGGGCATGTGCCCTGACTGGGAATCGAACCCCGATCACCTGGATCCTAGGTCGAAGCTCAACCGCTGAGCCATGCGCGGCCGGGCAAGTTATACTTTTTTGACAAATATTTATTTAACACTTTGTAGACTCTATTTTCGGGACTTGCTATGCAATGATTACTAATATACAATTGCTTGCCTCATAGAACTGCAGAGCCATAAATAGGCAATTCTAAACTTCATATTTCAATACAACAGAATTCAACATGAGAACACACAGAAGACAACCTTGGGGAGATGTGTACAACTCATATATTTTAAAAAAGAAAAAATATTTATCAGATAAAAACATTTCCAAAGAATTTTAAATACTTTTCTAATGTCAGGAAAATAACATGTGGAAGATAATTTAAACTTTCCTGTATGATTCATTGTTACATCATCACTTTGAAAGCCGTAAAGTATTACACACATGAAAAGAATAAAGATTCTTAAAGCTATATATATATTCAAATACTGAATTCCTCATTCCCACCAGTGTTTGCAGCTCTCTCTCCTGTGCTCTAAATCTCCACCAGTTGCTCTGCCTTTCTGAGTTCTTCTATTCATGTTGACATTCAAAAATTTTGATAACAAATAGGGCAAAAACGCCAATCAGGAGGGACTCCAGCCACAACCCTAAAGTGACCTTTGAAGGCCTTTGGTGATAACAGGTGTTAATACTGTATCTAATGCATTCTGCAAGTTTCTAGGGGAGGCTGAAGGGCGGCCAGATGGTAGTGTTGGGGCGGGGTGGGGAATGAGTTGACAGCAAAGCAGCTAATTCAAAACAGACATGCTCCAGTAATGTCCAGCCTGCAAATGTCACTTCCGACTGCTAGATGAAAATTAGTAGGATACATAAGTTGCTTCTTCCTTGAATGTACCCTACTAACAACTCAAATGGGAAATCAGTGCACTGAATCTGTAAAAATTATAACTAAAACAAGAATAAAAAGACCCCGAAAGAATACCTGAGTGCCTCATGTATAAAAAATAGGAAATTTGCTTCAAGCCTGAGGATTGTAGTTTTAATTTAAATGCTATGCATTTTTGTTTGCTTTAAATTAATATAGTTTGTTTTTTAGAGCAGCTTCAGATTTATAGAAAGAGTTAATAGAAAGTACAGTTTCCAAATATCCTGCAGCCTGCCCCCAATTGTTAACATTTGTTGCCACTGATGAGCCAATATTAATACATTACTACTGAAGTCCACCATTTCCATTAGGGTTCACACTTTGTTTCCTACACTCATGGGTTTGACAAATGCATGATGACACACATCCGGCATTACAGAATAGTCATCATATGCTCCGTACAGAATAGTTTCATTGCCCAGAATACTGCCTGTGCTTGACCTAGGCATCCTTCCCT